CGGCACATTCGAGCAGTGTTGCTGGTCTTGTTTTAACCTGTCGAAGTGTCTTGAAGAACCGAGATACCGAGTCTGATCGGAACGTCTTAGGAGGAGGTCTATTCCTTCATTGACCGTGAGAGCTTGTCATGGGCTAAGTTGGGACTCCCCTGCAGGGATTTGAACTTTTGAAAGCCGTGCCCGCGGTTATGGGCAGATGGGAATTTGTTAATGTCTGGTTGTAGATAACTTGATCCTTAACTTAATTGAAATGAATCAACTGAGTGTGTTACCGTGATGGCCTCTTCTCGGCGGAATCCCGGATGTGGACACGGTGTTGGAGTAATGTTTGCGCAGGTTGCTCTCTAGTTTTCTCGCTCGCGCTTTGCCTCCTCTTCTCGCTCTCTTTTGCGAATAAGTTAGCCACCATACTTGTTAGTCGCTTGCCGCAGCTCCACATATTTACCTTGCCTTACCTATAAGCTTAAATAGTCTTGATCGCGAGGGTGCGAGATTGCTGAGTCCCTGTGGCTCACAGATTACTATTACACCAGATGCAGGGCCTGATGTTTCCGCTCCAAGTGACGCGCTTGAGCTCAAGTGGGAGTTCGACGAGGACTCTCAACGTTACTATGTTTCCTTTCCCGATGATCAGTAGTGGTGCCCAGTTGGGGGTGATTGGGACCGTGTCGCTTATTGGGTTCTCTTTTATTTTGGCGCCGTAGTCGGGCCATGAGTGTTTGGATGATGTAATGTTATTTATGTACTTGATTGACGTGGCGAGTGTAAGCCAACTATGTTATCTCCCCTTTATGATTTATATTACATGGGATGTTGTGAAGATTACCTAACTTGCGACATATGCCTTCAATGCGATTATGTCTCTAAGTCGTGCCTCGACACGTGGGAGCTATAGTCGCATCGAGGGTGTTACAATTATAAAGGATCTCTACAGGTGTCTCCAAAGGTGAATGTTGGGTTGGCGTATTTCGAGATTAGGATTTGTCACTCCGATTGTCGGAGAGGTATCTCTGGGCCCTCTCGGTAATGCACATCACATAAGCCTTGCAAGCATTACAACTAATGAGTTAGTTGCAAGATGATGTATTACGAAACGAGTAAAGAGACTTGCCGGTAACGAGATTGAACTAGGTATTGAGATACCGACGATCGAATCTCGGGCAAGTAACATACCGATGACAAAGGGAACAACGTATGTTGTTATGTGGTCTGACCGATAAAGATCTTCGTAGAATATGTAGGAGCCAATATGAGCATCCAGGTTCCGCTATTGGTTATTGACCGGAGACGTGTCTCGGTCATGTCTACATTGTTCTCGAACCCGTAGGGTCCGCACGCTTAAGGTTTCGATGACAGTTATATTATGAGTTTATGAGTTTTGATGTACCGAAGTTAGTTCGGAGTCCTAGATGTGATCACGGACATGACGATGAGTCTCGAAATGGTTGAGACATAAAGATTGATATATTGGACGGCTATATTCGGACACCGGAAGTGTTCCGGGTGATTTCGGAGAAAACCGGAGAGCCGGAGGGTTACCAGAACCCCCCGAGAGAAGTAATGGGCCATATGGGCCTTAGTGGAGAGAGAGAGGGGCAGCCAAAGGTGGGCTGCACGCCTCCTCCCCCCTGGTCCGAATTGGACTAGGAGAGGGGGGCGGCGCCCCCCTTTCCTTCTCCCTCCCCACTTATTTCCCCCTCCTAGTAGGAGTCCTACTCCTACTAGGAGGAGGACTCCTCCTTGGCGCGCCATAGGGGCCGACCGGCCTCCTCCCCTTGATCCTTTATATACGGGGGCAGGGGGCACCCCTAGACACACAAGTTGATCCACGTGATCATATTCTTAGCCGTGTGCGGTGCCCCCTTCCACCATAATCCTCGATAATATTGTAGCGGTGCTTAGCCGAAGCCCTGCGACGGTAGTACATCAAGATCGTCACCACGCCGTCGTGCTGACGGAACTCTTCCCCGACACTTTGCTGGATCGGAGTCCGGGGATCGTCATCGATCTGAACGTGTGCTAGAACTCAGAGGTGCCGTAGTTTCGGTGCTTGATCGGTCGGGCCGTGAAGACGTACGACTACATCAACTGCATTGTGCTAACGCTTCCGCTATCGGTCTACAAGGCTACGTAGATCACACTCTTCCCTCGTTGCTATGCATCACCATGATCTTGCGTGTGCGTAGGAATTTTTTTGAAATTACTACGTTCCCCAACAGAGCTGGCTTGGAGCGGTGAGTTGCTAAACCACCCGCCAGCTTGGATCAATCACTTGCTCCTTTGCATCCAACGTGTAGCCTCGCCTATGGTAATGACGACTTGGAGCAGTGAGGAAGGTGGGAAAGCGCATTTTCTCCCTTGGTGTTTTTGGTAATTCATGTCAACATACATGAATGTTGTTGGACAAATGTTTTCCTCAAGTATATTTCAAGAAAGGTTTAACATAGGCAAGTAGAAGGATGGAGTTGTGGACCCCTCAAACTACTAAGGAACAATTTTGGCAAAGCTTCAAGACTCTACATTTTTAGTTGAGTGATCAAAGATCACATTGAATCCATAAGAAAGCCAATACTATTAAAAGTGGGTGAGGTTTTGATCATGAGTCATTTGCTCAAGTGCTTTGGGATATTGCTCGAAAAACCCTCAACCACACTCTCACAACTCTATCTGTCCAAAACCCTAAAGTCATTCTCGGTCCCACCGATTCATTCCTATTTGGACCCACCGAGATAAACTTGACAGAGCCATTGCCTAAACCATAGAAACTTGGTTTCACCGAGATGACATTCGGTCCCACCAAAGTGCGCATGCCAATCTTCTGTAACCCATTGTTTTCATTTCAGAATTTCCAAGTGAAATCAATCGGTGTCACTAAAGCAAGGAAAGTGCTTAGGTCATCATCATTCGGTCCCACGGAGTGGATTCATCTGGTCTCACAGAAATGCCTAAAGTTCAAACCTTTTACACTGGTCGGTCTCACCGAGTGGTTTCACCCGGTCCCACCGAGTTGTGCATAAAGGTATGCAATGATTAGATTTTTGGTGAAGGCTATATATACGCCATCCACACCACCTACTCTCAGAGAGAGCAACTAGGACGAAATTATGACTTCCCGTGTCATTTTCTGAGAGAGAACGACCTACACTTGTGTTGAAATCAAGGGGATTCCACTGCAACCTTTGATCCTTGATTTCTAGCCCCCTTAAGTTGCTTTCTACTCCAATCCTCTCCTACTAACATGCCAAATCTGTGAGAGAGTGTTTGAGTGTTGAGGAGACTATATTTTGAAGCACAAGAGTAAGGAGTTCATCATCAACAACATCTATTACCTTTTGGAGGGTGATGTCTCATAGATTGTCTAGTGTCACTTAGGAGCCTCCAAATCTTGTGGAGTTGAACCAAGGAGTTTGTAAGGGCAGAAGCCATGATGACATAGATCTCCTACTTCGTGAAGATCTATCCCGAGTGAGGCTAGTCCTTCGTGGACAGAAGCCATGATGACATAGACAAGGTTGCTTCTTCGTGGACCCTTCATGGGTGGAGCCCTCCATGGACTCGCCAGCCCTTAACCTCCGTGAGTTGAAGTATCCGTCAATGTGTATGTACGGTAGCACCACCTATCGAAACCACACCAAAAATCACCATGTCTTCATTGTGTTTGATCTTCTGATCTCTACCTCCTGTTACTTTCTTGCACTTGTATGTTGTTCTTTATCCGTTTCCCATACTCTATATATGCATGTGTAGGAAGTATTGGTTGTCATTTAACTTGTGCTAACATCTACCTAAATTCTAAGAAAAAAATGCAACTTTGCCATGTTAAGTGTCTATTCACCCCCCCCCCTCCCCCATAGACCTATCTTCTCGATCCCTCAAGGTGGAGCAGCGAGTTGTCTGGCTCGTATCCAGCGAGCTCGACGGGCCACCCAACCGGCTTTTATGCCAGTGAACTCCTTTTCCTGCTCGCCGAATGCCATGGAGAGTGTGAAGAATATGGTGCAAGGAGGAGATGGTGAGCGGATGTGTGGTGTGGTTTTTGCCCGGCGTCTGGCCTCGTTTAAATAGCAGGCGGACGTGACAGGGGGTGGGGGTAGAGGGGGTCTCGGCGGTGCCTTCAAGAAGGGGAGCCGCACAAGCGGGCCTGGCCACCGTCATGGTCGAAAAAACCAACCAGGGATTTCTACCGATCACGACTAACACCACCAAACCCAACCACTATTAGACCAGTGAAGCTTCACTGCCGCTACAACATGGTTGGCTAGAAGAAGGTGGAGAAGCAAACCTTCAGATCTAAGGACGGAGGACCACCAGAGTATCCCACCGACCACCCACCGCATTCACCATCGATTCGCCGTCCACGCGGCCGAGGACGACGACTCACACCTGCAGGCGCGCCTGCCGCTTTGCCAACTCTGAGGCCGCCGCCCCAATTGCCTATGCTCTCCACGCAGGCCGCCGGATCGTCGCCGCCCTCTTGGTTGGTGTCACACATGGGTGTCGGAGGGCATCTCTGTCGGCGGCAGAGGGGAGGGAGGGGGCGGCGGCGGCTAGGGCAACCCCCTGGTCGCCTCAGAGGAGACAACACGGGCTATCGCTTCATTGGTTGAATTATTATCAATCACGCAGTAGTAGTAGTTATGACTTATTTTCTGTACCAATTTTCTTATTTGAATATTGCTAGCAAAGAGCAGTTTCCAGAAAAAAAATCAGATTGCAACAATGACAGTACGCTTCACAACTGGAAGCTCGCCGGCCTCAGTTTCTTCATAGACGAGCGGGTGAAACATGTCAAGGCAGTACCCAGACTCGTAAACTCACACTTCTAGTAGTTCCACAATTACAAAAGCAAAACGAATCAATCACTGGAGATATATATGTACTGCTTGAGACCTTGGTACTCTAGCGTGGTGCCTTCTGAACAGCTCAATGGCCCTCTATACCTGGTTTCTTATACGGACGACAGCCAGCGATAAGCTCGATCCTCTCAAAACAACCCATCACTAAGGCGGCGAAGGCGAAGGAGAGGCCGGCGGTTTGAGATCTGGATACTGCACGCACGCAAAAGCAAGAATAACGATGAGCATGGCGTTTATATTTCAGATGCGTTTGTCTGTGCAGTGAAGCATATTGAAGTTCGGAACAGTATAAGCTTACGTTCGCATATGGCGAAAGAGGCCTGGGCTTCGCAGGAGGCGATGACTCTTCGACAGCTTCTGCCACCGGTGCCGAGTTAACTTCCGCCGGCGATTCGGTTGCTGCGACAACGGTGGCCTTCACCTCGGTTTTACCCTCTGAAGCTGGTGGGGAAGGGCTGGCCGGTGGTTTGAGATCTGGGTACTGAAATGCAGAACCAGAGTGTTTGAGTTAGATCGGTCGGCTTCACTTCTGCAGATAAATGTCAACGAAATATTGTTTACATTTGCAAATGGTGACAGGGGTCTCGATGATGTTGTGGTATCAGGAGGCGACTCTGTGCTGGCTTCTGCAGCTGGGGCTTCTGGTTCTGCTACTGGTGCAGCAGTTGCCGTGGCAGCAGCTGGGGCTGCTGGTTCTGCTACTGGGGCAGCAGTTGCCGTGGCAGCAGCTGGGGCTGCTGGTTCTGCTACTGGTGCAGCAGTTGCCGTGGCAGCAGGGGGCGCTGCCGCTGTTGCTGCTGCTGGTTGGCTCTTAGCTTCACCAGATGAAGGCAGGAGAGCCTGCCCGATTTCCTGCCGATGACAAAAGGATTTTTTTTTGCTGAATAACCAACCGAATTATTATATGAAAACCAATGCAAGTTTCCCCGCAAAAAAAAAGAAAAAAAAACAATGCAAGTTTATTCATGTTCTGAAGAAAGGCGTTACACGGGGATATTCAGAGTGGAATGTATTTGTTGCCCAAACCATCACACATGTCTTTTCTCCACGAAAATTTGCACAGTTAGAGGACTTGAACATGCCTTGTTGCCAAAGAAACTCAGATTTTTCACACGGGAGCATCATGCTCACCAATGGTTTTCACTTTCACTGAGATTTCAATGAAAATCACGGAATTTCAGTAATTTCAAGACACTGAAATATTTACCTTTTGGCCAAAATATTTCGGCAATTTAAATAGTACACAGGAATTTAAAAAATCATTTTTTAAAAAACAATCAAACATTTAATTAAATTCAAGTTAATAATTCAGCCCTTTGGCCCAAATGCAAACCAATCACTGAGTTTCGGTTATTTCGGTTGGTCCTCAAATTTTTCTGAAACTGAAATTGAAATGTAAAACCACATTGTATTCAGTTTGTATCTGATACATTGTATCTGATGGTTGGCTTATGAGATAAACTACTATGAGGACATGAAAATTTGCCCTAGTGCAAATCAGGCGTAAGTTCTGGCAAACAGTGCACCAACCAAATTTAACTCTAAGCAACCAGGAGTATGACGAACTACCTTAATTTCATCAACAAGCTCCTTTGGCGCAATCTTCTTGTTAAAGAAATCATCAATCTGTTGCAGGGTCTTCTTTCGATCCTGGGAGCGGCATAAATAGGTTGAGAAGAGTTTGACAACGAAAATCATTTTCACTATAAAGGAAAAGGTTGTCGGTCATATCTCCAAAGCCCAGTGATAAAAGAATGAGATAAGCACCTCGGCATACACGAGCTTGCTTGCCACAAGCTGGACAATGGCAGCTGAACCCAGAAACTGTAGCACGGTTTCTATCTGCAGCATGTCATACAAGATTTGTAATAAAGAGGAAATTGATTCAACTCCTCAAAATATGATAGCACGTCAAGTTTTAGAAACCTCTGTGTAGGCAAGTAATCCCAAACCAGTAGCTGCAGCAAGACCAATTGTGACAGGCAAACCTTCTGAACCATCCTGTAAGTTAGGCATCACACTCAGAACTCAACTGACACATAAATCTAAATGAACAAAAGCATGGAACCAGATGATACAGGGAAATAGATTTTTATTAGAAATGAGGTTAACAAAATAAAGGTCATGTCGAACTCACCCCAAATAGCTCACCGAAGTCCAAACTGAATCCCTTCTTGGGAGCAGTCCACGGAAGATCACTGCTCTGCAGTAGAGCACTAGCAAATGGTGACATTTTGCAGAGCGAATATACATGTTAAACACTAGTTAGCAGTGAAAACAAGCTTTGTGGAGCATAAGAACCTGCCATCCCCGAGGTCCTTCCGCACCATCCTTTACCGCAAAAGCACCTTTATAGCCATTGGATGTGACAAGCTCAGCAACTAGTTCAGAGTTCCCATCAAACCTGTTTCAAATTTATTCACGTAAATGTTCGTAGGGACAATGTAATAAAACCATGTGGACAATTACTATAATACTTATCACAATTGCTTGTTTCCTCCTGAAGGACAAAAAATGAAAATTAAGTATGTGCCTCCCTTTTCACGGAACCATATACCGTTGATCAAAAGAGAAAAGTGAGTTACAATTATCTAGTAGAGTCAGAATTGTTTCAAGTTTTTCAAGATGCATACTATCTGTTCAGCTTTTCTCTACTGAGTTGAACTCCTCACTATTTATCAGTGGCATCTTAATTACCACAATCGACTTCATCGGCACCATGTAGAAGCATTCACAATGTTCTAACTTCTAAGTGTTGACAACATTATTTTCCAGAAGTCAATGAGCAGGCGGACAACAGCAGGGATACAATCTATGAGGATTTTACCCAAGTAACAAGTTCTTTGGAATTTATTCATGTAAAATTGGTTATCATTAACTAGTTTATTTTAATTTTGAGAACATAAGACGGCACTATTCCCAGTTCGATTCTTAACAAGAAGTTTTCACTGCCTGGCTATAAAGATTGGGCACACAAAAAAGCAAACACATTGCAGGCGTCTACAAAAACTCCAGCTACTCACTTGTCAAGGATGATCAATGTGGTGTTCTCCGGGTCCTTAAACCTCAGCGCAAGCTTCTTCAAGAAACCGTTCTTGTCCTCCCCGTCGTAGGGCACGGCCACCGCCTTCTTCTTGGCCTCCGAGATGTCCGGCAAGCCGACCTCCCGGGCGTCCTTGAGCGGCCTGATGTCGACGAGCTGCGCGTCTGGCTCCTCCAGAAGCCTCCGGTACGCGGCCTTCACGGACACGGTTTCGTATGGCTTGGAGGCGCCGCCAAGAACCTGGGAAACGGCCAACGGCACGGCTACCACGGCGAGGCCCGCGGCGACGACGAGCGGGTTCTGCGCGACGAAGTCCACCAACCCGCCGAGGCCGAGGTCTGGGAGGGAGAACCCGTCACCCCCACCACCGGCGGTGTCGGACGAGAGCCGCAGCATCTCCTCGTAGGAGAGTGGGGCGGCGAGAGCGGCGCCGCTGCCATTCAGTCCGAGCGTGGTGAAGAGGCCCGCCGCGGGGCCTCCAAGGGGGAGGCGCCTATTCCTGGGCGCCTGTCGAGGCCTCCGGGCGCGCGGGGGAGTCGGCGTCGTTGGCGCAGCGGAAGAGACGATAGCGGCCATTGCATTACCGGTGGCGCCCGGCGATGTCGGCGGGAGCGGTGGCGCGGGCAACTGCTAGTGGCTGGCACGCAGGAGCCAGGTTCCTCACTGTGGGGAGATGAGGAAGGGGGTGAGCTGGGAGGAGGCAGCCAAAGGGAGGGCGCCACGTGGATGAGGAGATGAGCCTCGTGGCCGTTTGAGAGGCTGTGATTTCTCGTGGACTCGTCGTCAGTTCTTAGAATGCGATCTTGTTTGTCATTTCTAAAAACCGCGAGCATGACACGTTGGTTACCTCAATACGTACGCGGACACGACCTGGCGCGCACACGGACAGTGACCGATCACATCCTAAATTTTTATTTCTCATATCCAGATACCTCAATTAGCAAAATTCAAATTCATATTACACATGCATTGTAAACTTACCATGCAGCCGCACCTCCGGCAACTGCGAGTGTGTTTGGTTGCTTGCATTACCCCCGTCCAGGCTCAGTTGGGCCACGGAAAACATGTTTGGTTGCAAACACGGATGTCTGGCTCGCATCAACATTAATTTTAAAGCAGCCTAGAGCCTGACTCGCTAGAAAACCTCGAATCAGCAGTTTCCAACGAGTAAGGCCGAGTCAGGCGCAAAAGGGGGCAACGTGCACGCGACGATGCAAGGGGAAATCGAGCGGAGATGGCAGGAGAAGGAAATTGGATGACACGGGATGGCACGAAATCTAGCCTCACCCCCATTTACTCACTCACCTCTTGCTCTAGGACAAGCCCATCCTTAGTTCTTAGCACCAGTGGCGTTGGCGACTCAGATCTGCGCAAGAGGCGCCGGTAGCAACATCACTCTCCGACTGCACGAGCTACTTCTTCTCTTCTTTTTGGCCTCCGTCTTGTCCTCCTCGTCTCAGCCATGCCTCCCCCCCGGTCCTCGGCGGCGGCACCGAAGCTTGCAAGCAGCATACAACCCCCTCCCCCTCCTATGTTAGGTCGTTTGTTATGCTGTGAAGCAAGGTATAGTTTCGATTTCCCATTGATCACTACACCATTGATGTTGCCTAGGTTATGGATGAACGGATGAAGCTGCTAGTTTAGGCAGCACATTGGTAGCTATGATTCAAGTCTGGCTCATGTTGGTCCACAAGAGAGTTGTTCAATCCCGTCACCTGTTATGCTTCAATGTTAACCCGGGATAAGTAAAGGATAGCGAATTTGAACTACATCTAGAACTGCGATGAAGTAGAGGCTTTGTGGATGCTTCAAATGAAAAGAACACCTTTTCACCAGGCTTGTGGGGCTGCTAGAAGATAACACCCACATCGCTATGACATAGCAAGCTGCCATGTTCCTCCATGTTATAGGTCATAACCAGAGGTTCAAGGTTATCCACAGCACGTTCGGGAGATCAATGGAGACCATTTCCAGGTACTTTAGGCAAGTGTTGTATGTTGTTGGGGAGCTTAGGGGAGAGATGACCAAGTCATCAATAGGCCAAACTCCTAACAAGATTCGCACTAGCCCAAGATGGTTCTATATTTCTGATGGGGAACGAAGCATGAAAATCAAAAGAATTCCTACGAACACCCAAGATCTATCTAGGAGAAGCATAACAACGAGAGGGGAGAGTGTGTCTAAGTACCCTCGTAGACCGAAAGCAGAAGTGTATATAACGCGGTTGATGTAGTTGTACTCTTCGTGGTCCGATCACGATCCAACCGATCTAGTGCCGAACGGACGACACCGTCGAGTTTAGCACACATGTGGCTCGATGACGTCTCCTCCTCGTTGATCCAGCAAGAGAAGGCGGAGAAGTAGATGGGATCACGACCATCACAACGGCGTGGTGGTGATGGTGGTGGTGGAGCTAGTTCAGCAGGGCTTCGCCGAGCGCTACTAGAACGAGGACGGAGGAACTACGGAGTAACGGGAGAGAGAGAGATGGGCACCAAGGGCTTGGTGTGTCCTCTTGGGATGCCCCCTCCCCTCTGTATATAGGTGGGGGCGTGGGGAACAGCCCCTCCAAACCCTAGGGCGCGCAGCCAAGGGGGAGATGACTTGGACTCCAAGTCCAATCCTATTCCTACTAGGACTCCCCCCTTTTCCCCTTCACTAGCCACATGGGCTTTTGAGGACTTGGTGCGCCTAGCCCAATGAGGCCAGGGCGCCTCCCCTCAGCCCATGCGAGCCCTTGGGTCATGGTGGGCCCACTTGTAGACTTCCGGAATCCTCCGGAACCTTCTAGAAGCTTCAAAGTACAATACCAAAAAAGCTGCACCTTTTTTCGGAACCCAAAATATGACTTCCCATATATAAACCTTTACCTCTCGACCATTACGAGACTACTCATGACGTCTAGGATCTCATTCGGGACTTCGAACAGCGTTCGGTTACCAATCATCAAATATCCCAATACTTCTCTAGCGTCAACGAACGTTAACCGTGCGACCCTGCGGGTTCGGGAATCATGTAGTCATGACCGAGACACCTCTTCGGTCGATAACCAATAGCGGTACCTGGATGCCCATATTGATTCCTACATATTCCATGAAGATCTTTTATCGGTTGAACCACGATGTCAAGGATTCGGTTAATCCCGTATGCAATTCCCTTTGTCCGGCGATATGTCACTTGCGCGAGATTCGATCGTCAGTATCTCCATACCTAGTTCAATATCGTTACCGGCAAGTCTCTTTACTCGTTCCATAATACAAGATCCCATGACTAACTCATTAGTCACATAGCTTGCAAGCTCTTTAAGATGTTGTATTACCGAGAGGGCCCAGAGATATCTCTCTGTCATACAGAGTGACAAATCCTAGTCTTGATCCATGCCAACCCAACAGATACCTTTGGAGATACCTGTAGAGCACTTTTATGATCACCCAGTTACGAAGTGATGTTTGGATACACACTAAGTATCCTCCGGTGTCAGGGAGTTACACGATCTCATGGTTTAAGGAACATATACTTGACATGAAGAAAGCTATAGCAAATAAACTAAACGATTTGATGCTAAGCTTACGATTCGGTCTTGTCCATCACATCATTATCCGAATGATGTGATCTCGTTATCAAATGACAACTCATGTCTATGGTTAGGAAACCTTAACCATCTTTGATCAACGAGCTAGTCTAGTAGAGGCTCACTTGGGACACTGTATTGTCTATGTATTCACACATGTATTTTAGTTTCCGGTCAATACAATTCAAGCATGAATAATAAACATTCATCATGAACAAGGAATTATGATAATAACCAATTTATTATTGCCTCTATGCATATTTCCAACAATCTCCCACTTGCACTAGCACTACAAAAAAAGACACATCCGTGACATTTTGGGCCGAACGAATTTTTTTCTGTCATACATATGACACTTCTATGACGATAATTGTGACAAAACCCTGTATCATCATAGATGTGGTGGGCTCCTACTTCTATGACAAAAAATCATGACAGAAAATGGGCTTTTCGTCCTGGGCGGGCCGGAGACGCAGCTGCATGACATTCTTTGGGCCGTCCATGACAGAAAAAACCATGGTAGAAGCGAGGGGGAGGAAAATTTCAGGGAGTTCCCGGTTACGGTGGGAGGTCGGGGGCCGAGCGATGCGCGTTTCTCTCGTACACGTACGTGCATGTGTGCGAGGCGTTGGCTCTAACTGAACCCGAGCGAGGCGTTGGGCTCTAACTGAACCCGAGCGATTGCACTGCAGGCTACGCATTACTGAACCCGAGCGATCGATCGATGGCTGTTAACTGAACCCGATCGAGCGATTCCTTCGCTACTGCTGCTAACTGAAGCCAATCGATGCTTCCTTTGGATGAACAGTGAGCGTTGCGAGGGGGGGTGGGGGTTGGATGAACAGTTCTCGGTGGGGGTGGATGAATAGGACCCCATGGTGTTGCCTCTAGATGAACAGGACCCCGATCGATCGAGCCGGTTGGGGCTGGATGAACAGGACCCCGTGGAGGGCTAGATGAACAGGACCACCCCGTGGAGGGCAAGATGAACAGTAGACGGTGGAGGGCAGGATGAACAGTAGCCCGTGGAGGGGTGGTTGAACAGGAGCCCGTGGAGAGGGCTGATTGAATAGTAGCCGGTGGAGTAGCGCACGGTGGAAGCTGGATGAACAGTCGCAGGTGGAGGCTGGAGGAGGTCGATAGTGGATGAACAGTAGCTCGTGGAGGCTGGAGGGGGTCGACGGTGGAGATGAACAATATCCCGTGGAGTCCCGTTTTGCGGTACGCCACACCCCTCCCGATGAATAGGACCCCGTTTCGACCGTAGTGCTCCAACACAAGTCCGTTTCCTCCGTCTTGCGGTACGCCACACCCCTCCCAATGAACAGGACCCCCGTTTCGACCGTAGGAGGTCCGTTTCCTCCGTTTTGCGGTACGCCAGACCCCTCCCGATTAGCAGGACCCCGTTCCAAACATAGGAGGTCTATTTCCTCTATTGTGTGATACGCCAGGCCTCATTTCCATCTCCTGTTCCGTCCAAGCCCTCCCGATGAACACGACCACGCATTCCGTTCCGACCCAGCCGGTTGGCTCCCACGTGTTCCGTTGCCTCCCGATGAACACGACGCATTCCGTTGCCTCCCCATGAACACGACGCATTCCGTTGCCTCCCGATGAACACGACGCATTCTGTGCCTCCCCATGAACACGACGACGACGCTGTTTCTCCGTTCCGACCCAGCCATGTATACGAGCCCTCGCTGTACGTATGCGCGAGTAGGCGTTCGAGACCCCGCCCGTATGTACACATACGTGGCCATATTTTCTTTCTTGCATTCTGGCCTCTACTACGACACGTGCGTGCCTCTACATCGACCAGTATGTACGTACATGTTCACGACCAGAATGACAACGCTACGTACGCTTCGACCAGGTGGGTCCCGACTGTCAGGCACTTCCTTGCCTGCGAAGATGTAGCTGGTGGGTCCCAGCAGTCAGGGGGCGAATCATTTTTTTTGCCCGGACGCACTTCCTTGCGTGCGAAGATGTAGCTGGTGGGTCCCAT